ATTGTTCTTGTTGATTTATTACATTAGTTATTGATGTATCGCTTTTTCTTTCACTTTTAGTTGATTCATTTGATCTTTGTATTGTATTCGAATGTTCTTTATTATTCGGCATATCATGTGTTTTAGTCGATACTATTTTATCTGCATTTATTACTTTAAATGGACCTCGAGGCGTTCGAGTAATAGGTAGAAATGTTCCACTAGTACCTAATTCATACGATAATTCACTTTCATTTGATGCAATTTGTTGTTTATTATTAATATCATTATTATCTTCAGGTTTTTCACGAAGAAGGGAATCCTTATCTTTTGAATCTCCTATGGTTGTTAATTTATTCGTAAATAAAGTTGTTTGGGTAATATTAACATCATTTAATTTAATTTTTGAATAAAAATAAATTTGTGGAATTAAAATAAATAGTAAACATATTGTTCCTATTGTAAACATACCAATAATAAGTGATGGAAAAGCGAATGATGGATGTGTATAATGATAGATAAATGTCCATAGTAACCATACAATATCAATTAAAATAAATGCAAACATATTAAAAAAAGATAATGATGCATTATTCTTATGTATTCTTAGTAATTGTTCTTTTTCGGCTTTATTTCGATGACAATAACGACATAGAAATAGACATATTGCTATTATTGTGCATAGAAATAATTCTACTATTGTATATGTATATGTCGCGTAAAAACGATAATCAACAATACATTGATGTGAACATGGTTTGATTGATGATGACAATGATATTTGTTTTTGAAATTGAAATTGAAATTTTGGATATTCATTTATTAATTGTTGCTGTTGACATGAACGTGGGAAAGTAAAATACCACCAAAGTATACCAATTGGTATTTGTATACATATAAGTAATAAATAAATTAATAGTGCTGTTAATTGTTTTGTTCGTTTTGATAAAATTCTTGCAGCTAACCATTGCATTATGTAACGACATAATAACGCCGAATATAGTAAAGCATATGCTAATTGTGATAAAAATTCTCGTAGACTACAAAATAATTCATTACCACGTATTAAGAAAAAGATAACGATAATATAGATAAAACAAACACTGAAGCAAATAAATAAATTAGTTAAAACTAAATGATTATTTAAACGACGTATTGAAATATATAGAAATAAATATAATATTATTATTGTAAATATTATACCAAATATTGAAAGAATAAATATTGGAAATATCCATGAATTGTGAAATGATAATAAGGATAATGTTTGATTATTGATTGATTGAGGAGGATGATAATGATGAAGATGATGATTATGGGTATTATTATCAATTAATTTTGGTGGAATATAAAAAGATTGTGATTGTATTATTGAAGAATTAAATGATGGTAAATTCATATTAATTTCATTCATTTATCTAAATAATTATTAGGCAAAAGAATATATTTTTGGTACAAACAAAACAAAAATATGACAATATTACAAACGGAAACGAGACATGATATATTCATATCGACTTGATATGTTCGTTCTTTCTTTCTTTCATCTTTCTTTTTTATGACCGATCTAACGGCGACAAGTAGAGAGAATGGCTGTAAAGAAAAGGACAAGATGTCTCTTCAGCCAAGCCTAAGGGTCTATAACCTGTGTTTATATATATACATATATATGTTGCTCAATAGTACCAACACTACTACTATTATTATTATTATCATCTTCAAATGGGGCTAATGGAATCGATAACATTTGATATATATAATATATATATATATATGTATACGTTGTTATTGTTATTGTTGAATTATATTTATCTTTATCTTTTTTTTTGGTAAATGAAGAAAAAATTGAATTCTAATCGGAAATTGTATTTTCTTAATAATATATATATATATTTAAATCATGCAGACGAAAGTTGAGGCGGCGTTTGTTACGCTTCATTATGTTCGTTCTATTCATATGCATTTATTTTGTCTAATTTTCTCGCATGAAATCAACTCTTTCCTCCTCGTTATTTCGCATACAATTCAAGGTAGACTTCATTAAATCGGCTACTGCTACTTCAAGCGAATATATATATATATATATATATATTTATTTATTAGCATCTATTAGAATACTTATGATGCTTTTTGAGAATCTATTACATTAAGAAATATATCTATCGAAGATGTTCATACACTTAATATCATAAAAGAGTGAGAAAATGAGTCAATTTTGTTTGACTTATATGCGTGAGAATATATTGCAAGATGATATATAGATCTACATTAACATATAAACTGTATATTAGACGACATCTGTCAGAAGAGAAGATGTTTTTGTTTCAATGTTATTAGTTTCATTTGTCCTTGAGAGATAGATGAATAGATAGTTTCAGTTAATGTGAGATACGTATATCGAAATGAGATAGGATATGTAAACAATCAAGCGCAACTGAATTGACAAAAATCAACAACTGATTTTTAATGTATACTGGGCAAATTATAGTCATTACTAAATATACTATAATTAACAATGTTCCTCTTACTTATTTCTATCTAAAATTAATATTATTTATATTGCTTCACTCTTACCTTATCAACATCTTTTTAACATATAGTATGAATAGTTAAAATGTAGAAAAAAAGAAGATGTCTTCTTCTTGTTCTTCTTCTTACGACAATAAAAAACATGTCACATCTAAAAGATGATCAACACACAAACTACACGCCCTTCTTACAACAATAAGTGAATTTATCTCGTCAATCGTACATACACACGCACCCATTAACATAATCTTACTTTAAAATTGATACAATATGCACACATACACGCTACGCATCTTTTTTGCAAGTCACGATCATAACTTGATCATAAAATTTGCAATCAATTCCCGATCGATCCTCTTTTCTCATCTTGTCTATTCATGTATAATAAATATGAAAAAAGAAATTGCTATGACAGATTACTTCAGTTTTTTTTTTTCATTTTTATATAAACATTGATATATGGATTATATCACTATATCTCTTAGAGATATCTATATACTATCATGCAACTTAAGAATTTCCTTATTGGAAGATAAGAATGAAATTATACCTGTAATAACTAATTCTTTTTGATTGAATCTATTCAAATGATTGTTGAAGATGCCAATGAAGAAATTGACGGACAGACACATATAGATACGTATATACGAAAATGTGTGTCATAGTCATTACCATTTATAGATGATAATAAGAAGAGAAGAACGAGAAGAGAGAAAGAAAACAGTGACGAGAACGGATATGAAAGCGAAACTTTTTTTTTTTTCATGTGCACGATAACTTTTGCGGTTTAGTTGAAAAGAAGCGAGAAGAAGGAAAAAGAAGAAAGGGAGGAAGCAAGAAAAAAAAAACGAGTCCGTGTTGGCTGTCACTTCAGTTTTTTGAAAGAAATAATACGCTTCAATATCACTATACTAACCAACTAAGATCAAAAAGCAAATAGAAAAAAAAAATTTACAATGACTATCGAATTAGTATAAAGCAATTGGAAGATAGTGACAACAACAAAAAATAAAAAAAGAGGATAGCATACGAAAGACAATATTGAAATTATACAATATATATACCTATATTTTCAAAGTCCTATCCAATAATAGAGAAGGTCATTAATACCAAATGTGAAAGTTAAAGTCAAACGGCTTCTATTCTTTTTTTTTTCTTCTCCTCTCGTTTTTTTTTGTATGTTGTTAACAATGTTAACATGGACACAGATTTGATTAAAAAGGATATAGCATGTAAGTAAGAGATGACTATCATACTATTAAATGACTTGCGTAACAATGATAGTGAAGAAAAAAGAATGGAGATTGACAAAGACAATATAGAAGAATGAATGCAAGTGCAGGAAATTGAATCAGATTTGTTAGATAAGGAAACAAAGGTCGAAGAGATTGCTTTCATCAAATCACTGTTTGATGCCCTATACGAATATGAATAATTCCAATTAATAAGTATATATTTATTTTTGTCGTTCAGAGTCAAATAAAACAAGAAATGATTATATTCATCTGATAATTTTAGTTTATACAATTGAATAATATTTTATCTTAGAATTGTTCAATAGAACATATGTTATTAAGTAAATCGATCGATTTTGTTATTCAAAAGCATATACTAATTAGATATTATATTGTATATATGCAACAATAATGTACATTGCAGTCGAGCATAAATATTCTTATCATTTCGATTGTCTGCGCCTTTCATTTATAACACAATAACCGATTAGAATCGTTTTGTCTTTCTACACTTATACATTCACACATTTCTTTTTTTCTGCTAAACAATTAAATACAATCAGATTGTTTTATATGCATGAACATGCCGCAAGTAAATTTTTATTATTATTGTCTAGCATAAAAGAGTGCCACATCATAATAAAAATCAATTCGTAGTCTTCATCATCATCATTATGTCTACTAGCGATGTAATACAGTCCACTTGATTGCTTACAATAGAAAAAGTCAAGCATATAAATAATGTATATCGATTATAAATGAATGAAGCCATAGAAGTAATTACTTGATCATCATCATTTTTATGGAAATAAATAAGAAGTAGAATATATACACTTATTATATATGAAAGTGTGTAACGAACATAATATTTTATCGGAGATTCTTTGTCATAGAAATTTTATCATACAGTAAAACATATACAAGAAGAAGAAAAAAAACAAATTGATTCGATTTTTCCTTATTTAAGATCATCATGTAGTTTTTTTGTTAATATGGGACTTGAACTTCGTATTGTTTGTTGATTTTCATTGGTATCAATCTGATCATGATCGGTTGTATTCATTAATGGTTTTGTTCGTTTAGCTGTTGACATTGGTTTAAGAAATAGATCTGAACTTAAACGACGTTTGGATAATAATTGATCACTACTTAATTGTGTATTTAAGGGTAATGATGATGAGTTATTTTGTTCATATGCACTAGTTAATTGAAGTTCTTGTTCGATAAAGAATTTCTCCAGATAATCTCTAAAATAAATAGGATAAAAATAAACCTATTTATTTTACAAGGAAAGTAGGAAGATTTATATATATACATATTGTATTAAAGTATAGGGAGTTTAAGAAGAAAAGATTCATCTATATGCATGTATAGCAATGAGAATGCATTATATATTACTCATTAGACATCTAACTGCTAGACTAATATAAAACACAACAAATGAATATCACGGATCGTAAATAAATTGATAAAAACTCATCAACTAACGACCTTCTATTAACTATGACACAATTCAATAGTTTTTCTCTAGACTTCAGTCATTTAAATTTCTGATTTCATATATAATCTATTATGTTGAACAAATATAAACTATCGATTACTATTATTCGATAGTAATTGTTCGAAACTAATTATCGATCAAACTGAAAAGAAGAAAAAAACGCGTCAGCTATGCCTATTATAAAATTGCATGACGACGATATCATACTACACATATATATATAAAGATGTTTTGAACTACTCTATATCAAATAAAATTATTATTATCTAACAACTATTAAGTTCTCTAAATTGAGAATTCTGATTCATTTTAGTAGAACTTAACACTGTCGTAATTAACGTTTTAGACTTAATAGACAAAGATGAGTGTATATCACTTACGTAACATAGGGATGTAAATGAAATCGTCGTTTTTCTACACGATTTTGTCGAACAAACATATCATGACGTGCTGATTTTTTCCAAATATAATAAAAAAATATAAGTTCATGCACCGTTCGATTTGGAATCTAGATTTATTATTATAATTTTTAGTTAGAATAAAATGATAATAAACCTTAAACATTGAAAAATCTTTGCCATATTCTTTAAAACATTGTTCAAATTGATCACATTCAGTTAATGACCATGGTATTGAAATAACTAAAAATATGAAGTAAAATAAAGAAAAAAAATACTATTTTTTAATATCAATATACAATAATTTTTATTAGTTGTGGGTAAACGAAGTTTATCTAAAGCTTGATCAATATCATAATTTGTTGATAAAAATACTTCAAGAATAGTTTCTTGATCAGCTGTTCGATCTAGAATGAAACTAAATAGAATTTTTTGTTTTATTTATTTAAATAAACATACATTCTTTAGAAGCTAATTTTAAATATTTATTAACTAATGTTGAATTTTCATCTTGATTTGTATCTAAAGGTGGAGACCATAATAATTGATCAATAGGCGATTCTAAAGATTTTCTTTTTTTAGAAAAAATTCGAAAAGGAAATGAATTATTTTAAACCTTGATCATTAAGTTCGGATGATGAAAGTAAATCAGGAACAACAGCTTGATATTGTTCACCGATATTTATAGCTTTTTGCCAATAAAATGTAAATGATGAATCGTCAACATCTTCTTCTTCTCCATTCTCATCTAAAATAAGAGGAAATTCATATTTTGTATTCTCTTCAGTTGTACATACTTAAACTTGGGTGTTCAGCAATTAACAAACGTTGATAACCACTATCTTCTTCTTCATCACTAGTATCTTCTTCAGATGTACTAAGTTCTGTTTGTTTTGTTACAGATACATTTGCAACATTAGATGAATTAGTATATAACTTCCTTAGATCTTCAATTGGCATTTCACTTTCCTAAAAAATATTAATAAATAGAAATAATACATCTCTATTATAGTATCTATCTTACCACCATTAATTTAACTATTCCAGCTTGAATAACGTCATTAGTAATAGATGTTCGTTGTTCATCTTCGACTATTTCATCTTTAATTTGATTTAATATCTGTTCTTCGTCAGTATTTTCTAGTGGTAATTGATTTTGGTTTTCTGCCATTTATATGAATATCGTCTAAACAATCTAAGAGAAATAGATCATTGAATGATCTGATAATAATATTTCTCTTTATACAAAATGCTCGTTTATTCTTTAATTAAAAATAAGAAAACAGACATATACAATGACAATAATCTGTCTTCTTCAAAAAAAACTAAGTAATAATAAATTTAATATAGCGAGAATAATAGAAGAAAAAAAAGAGAATAAAGTATTATTCCATAGCTTGATTAAACATATACATATATAAGATAGAAAGGTAGGTACATGAGAAAAAAAACTGACATCATATTTTGTTTTAATCTGTTGCTGTTCCAGTTCCAAGATCTAATAGAACTGATCGTTTAAATGAACCAACCATATAACGAAACTAAATAAAGTAAGAAATAGAAAAATATTTCGTAGAAAAAAATTATTTTACAGCAATGATAGCCACAACTGTTCCTAAAATTGCACCACTAAGAACATCTGTAGCATGATGACGATTATCTGTTATACGTGTAATACCTTGAAAAAATGAAAAATTATATTAAAAGAAAAAGAAGATAATTAAATAAATACAAACCAATATAAGCAGCTAATGCAAAACAAAGCATTTCCATAACATACGGAAATAGACCAATATTACGATAATTCCAAACTTTATGGATGTAAAGCTAAATACAAAATTAGAATTAATTCATTTTTTATAATAACGAAACAAAAGGATAGAATAGAGAACGTACAGCTAAAAATATTAAACCACAAAATGCTGATGATGAATGTCCAGATGGAAATGATTGACTAGAAAGAAAAGAAAATAATATTTAGGATATATTTTAAAAAGGTGGGTGTGGGTGTATCTTATCTATCTCAGCCGCACCCCTCAAAGAAAAGAGTCTTTTAGGTTTAGTCTAGATGATATTGCAATAACAGTAATATCTTCGAAACTTCAAATACCATATATGGGTGATCCGTAACCAAAGGGTTAATTAAACTAAAGCATCTACTGTTTGCTTATTGAAAAAATCTCAATTATTTCGTCAACTATAACAAAACACCATTAATGATATTTTTACAACTTAACATATGTCCTACGAAAATTTTGTAACCTTTTCTATTTAGTCTTACACTATATGAACTTTTTCTATATATTTTCATAAAGAGTTATTTTCCAATATATTCAGAACTGTCATTATCGATGAAATGTAATCAAAAATAAATAAGTGCTGATATACTGTATGTATATGAGAAATTTAAGTACAATATGATTACTAAGTTGATCTAAATATAAATTTTCGTCGCATTTTTTTAGCAGTCTTATCTTACTACGATCTAGTAGAAGCAAATTACTCATATTCTGTTAACCTGTCAGAGATTTTCTACATTCATATGTCGATTTTAAATCATCGAGTTATACGTGTCTTGCGTCATACATAAATTTTTTCATATATAACAAGTAAACAGTAGGAAGAACAACAATATATTATTCAGCTATCAATCTTCCATTTATTTTTAATATTCATATTATTAAATTTCTTTTATTGTGACATTCAACATACCGAATATCATGGGCACCATCTTTGTCTTTTACAAAATCAACTGATTCTCCAATACATGTATAATTAACGATCCATTCATTGGGATATTGACAGAAATCTTTATAAGAATATTTTTCAAAGCATGATGGAATAAAATGTGGTCGTAATCGTCCAACAGTTACTTTGCCAACATTTGTTAAAAATGAATTACAACAATTAGCAAAAATAAAGACACCTGAAAAAAATCATATTTGTTTTTTGTTTTTTACATTTCATAATAAAATAAAACATACCAACGACAATATAAAGATTTCCTAACCATTCTGGTATATCAATAACTTTTGAACCCATTTGAATTTTATAAACTACTTTAGCTGCTTTTTTACGAATTAAATAATACCAACGAACACCTTCAGAGAGGATAATCTAAACAAAAAACAATAATAGTAAATCTAAATAATATTATTTCATAAATTAACATACAACAACCAATGGTATACCAATTGCACAAACGAATAAAAGCCATGTTGGAAAAACTTTTTTTTCCGGTGGTGGATGATATAAACTTAAATCTGAACATAAAAATGCTCGTTTAACTGGTTTAACAAGATATTTAAATAATAACCATGTTAGAAGTACTATTTTAAAATAAAATATTATAATTTTATTCTATAGTAATAAAAAACTATACCAATAACAAGTGAAACTCCATCAAAAACTAATTTCATTGCTGATACTGGTTGTAATATTGCTGTACGACTAAAATTAAAATATATCGAACAAATAAGAATATTTTTAGTAATAGGCAAAAAACCGTCGGGTATCTATTGATGATATCTCCATTGATCCGTATGATATAATAGAACTTGGGGATTTTAATACATCTGTACTCATTGCTTTTATAGCTAATCAAAATATGAATCAACATTTTTTCTTATCATGGCATTTATTTTCTTTTTTCGTTCTATCGTTTATTGCAGGAATAAAAAAAAGACCATTAAATACCTTCGTATGCCCACATTCGGCGTTGCAATCCATTTGGCATCCGCTGAATCATCGTTGTATTTATGTTGACGTGATGGACTAGTATTCATTTTTCGTTTTAAGTCAGTTGGTGGTGGTGATGTTCGCTGACGAAACAAAGGAATTTGTTCTAAACCAAGTGTTGTATCTGAATCAGTATCAGCCACTGCGAAATATCTTTCGTTCTTTTTTTTTCTATTTAAATTTTATCTATAAATGGTTGATAAATTTTTATTTGATTAAAATATTTATTAAATAAAATAAAGACAATAAAATTAGTTTATTTAAAAATTAGCAGTTTGATTATAATCACGACTTGTATCACTTTGTGTTAAGGATGCTTTTCCTCGATTGGATACTGTATGAGGTAAAAATTTTGGATCATAATGACGCCAATTAAGAATAAATTTAAATGTTACAAAAGCAATGATTGCGCCAACAATACCACCTACAAGTACATCATGCCAATGATGATGAAAATCACTTATACGTGTATATCCTTTTAAAAATATAATTATTTTATATAGAATACGTTTTTTAAAAGATTCTTTTAATTTACCAATATAAAACCCAAGTACAGCGATACCTGTTTGAAGTAAATGACCAACAATACCAAGATGACGCCATGACCATGAAACATGAATATACATAATTAACCAACCAAAACCGACTATTATATTAAAAAAATATAGTATACAAAGAATTTGTATAAGAGAAATGACTCATAGGAATTTTTTATCTTCTATAAATAGTAGATTTTAGTGAATTTCGTTGAAAAAGAGTAATATGTAACAAGAGATAAACTTACACCAAATTGGAGAAGTATGTCCACTAAAAAATGATCGACTAAAATCAATAAATGTCAAAATATTACCTTCTGACTAGTTTCAATAAAAACATACCGTGCTTCTCGTACAGCAGTAGCATCAGGATTGTTACATGTATAATTAAGATCAGGTAGTTGATATGAATTATATTGTTCCAAGGATGTAATAGTTGTACAATCGAGACTTGGTTGACAAACAGCAAGAAAATGTGGTCTTAATTCTCCAACAAAATTTTTTGCTACTTCAGTTAATACCCATGTAGTTAAGTAACCATAAGTAAATACCACTAATTTAACAAAAACATTTTTTATTTTAAAAATCGAATTAATTATAGTATTTATTTACCAGTAAGCATGTATAAATTACGAACAAATGGACTAATACTTGCTACTTTTGTGCCACATAATTCTAAACGAGTTATGAATCGTTGTTTTGGATAATGCCCAAAATACATTTTTTTAGTAAATTCTGTGATCCACATCTAAATTATAATAAGATATTTTTATTTTTATAATTGATAAAAGAATTATATTACCACAACAAGTGGCAAACCGATTGATAGAATAACTGCAGCATAAGTTGGTATAGTATTGCCTTTAAGTGGATATTTTATTGATGCATCCGAACAAAAGAAACCGCGTGTAAATGGTATAGCAACAAAATGTGATATAACCGTTACAACAAGTACTAAATAATAGAACTAATATAATAGTTTATTTATAAAGAGAATATTCATTTTACGTATTATAAGACTAGTAATATCTAGAATAACACGCCATATTGTTTCGGAATGATGAAATTGATCGGTTGTTGTTGGTGGAGAATTTATCATTTCTAATTCTGATCTGGGCATAGGTTTACTAGATGACTGTATGTTTTTTGACGTAATTTCGTTTTGTTCTTGTGGTTCGAATGGATGGATGTCGTTTTGACGATGTTTTATCATCACTATTTGTCAACGAGAAATACAACTGAGAGAAAGTAAGCTACAGAACAGTAAAACAAAAAAAAGGTGACTTCTATGCTGTTCGTAGATCACATTTGTATAAAAACTATCATGACTGATTTTGTCTCACTATAGTTTTTTATTATTATTTTTGACATATATAGAGAAATGAAAGATTGTTGTCGACTTTATTTTAATATGTGAAAAAAACTCTCTAGTCACGTTCTTCTTCTTAATAAATAAATTACTTAAAACAAAAAAATGTATACGTACGTCACTCATTGTAAAGGAATAATGTAATAAAACACTAAAAAAACTCGTCTATATTCTACGTAAAAAATTTGTTTATCTTCGAATGAATCATTTATCTTCTATTTATTGCATTGAGATATACAGGTGAGGTGGTTACAAAAAAAAGGTATGTTTATCAAAGAGTGGGTGACTTGAAGTATGTCACAAGATATATCATTGTATAGAACTGAAAGAAAAATATTTCAATGCTATGAAAAATCTGTATTATGTTTAGAGATTAACATAATCAATATTTTTCTATAATGGATTATTCTAAACTCAAATAACAAACGAATTCTTTCAAAAACATCGAAACTTAAACGTGATATTCTATCTGGAGTCTCCGCAGATTTATGGATAACAACTCATTGAAGGTAATCTGATTTACTATTTTGAATGAGGAAGAATCACTATTAGTATATTGAATCTAATTATGGGTGTCATTTAAGTGGTGAGGAAAATAAATGAAACGGCCGGTAAAACAAAAAATTCAAAAATCAGTTTAATTATTGAAATGGTCAGTAATTAATTTAATAGATCCATAATAAAATTTAAACGATCAGTAAATAAAATGAAATGGAAAGTAAAAAAATATAAAGTTGTGCAAAGATGTACTACCTTTCTTTTTTTTACTGACAAAAATCATATTTTTTCACTGCTACTTCCACAAAATCTACTGGCCACTTTTGAATTATTTACTGATTTTCCTGAAAACTGACCAATTAATATATTAACTGATATTTCAATTATTTTACTGGCCGCAGAACATATTCCCTTTAATTATGTCGAAAATATTACAGAAGAGTTACTTATTAATGAAACACAGATACGGAATGTTATGTGAGTTGTATAAAATAAGAATCATTTAACTAGGTTAAAAATGTAGCATCATTAGATTTTCACTATGACTTGACCATGCATTATGATAGTCACATTGATCTTAGATCAAATCGTATAAATTTACTAAAAGTTTTAAATAGATCTAACAAATATCGAACGTACAATCTATTATATTTTTATGAAAAGTACTTTGTCTATAATTAGTTAACTTACATTAAGAGTAATCTTTTAAAACCAAATGATCGCAGTTAAATAACACAATAACTATTTATCACTTAGATTTAGCGCGAATAGAGAAAAATATTCCTAAGTTAATTTCAAATTTTCTAACGTTTTTAAAGAAAATGAAACTGTCGTTTCTAATGCAATACGAGAAGTTGAAGGAGTCGATGACGTTATTTTTGCATTAAAATATGTGGGTGTTAAACATACAAAAGACTTTTAAAAACATTGTCATACCTGTTGTTAAGACAGAATGTAAACATCATTTGTGAAATCTTGCAAATGATCAGCTAAATGAAGAAAAGAGAATATATTTAAATAGATTTTATTGAATTTTATATATACTTTACGGAAGAATATCTATAGATATTTTTAAGATTACTTAGTTTGTTGTATAGAAAAGAGACAATTTCTTTGTTCTGTTTTTCCGTCATTTCTCAATTAATGAACCAATCAGTAAAAAATATTATTTTAAAATAAAAATGATCGCAATTTCGAATTATAATAAAAATAAAAATAAAATATCAAATGATTAAAAATAATTTCGATATATTTATATTAGATGTCGCCAAATACGCTCTCTATTGAACGCGGTATGAACAAAGAACTACAACGAACAGATTGATTCGATTCACGTTCATTCATTTAATCAATCAAAATGACATCAGCTATTTCATTTACACTTAATATTAATATTCAAAGTTCAAATGCTCATCATATTCGACCTATTCTACCAAAGATTATTGCTGATAATAATATTCAACAAACAATTACAATTAATAAGATATCATCATCAATATCGAAAAAAATTTTAAATAATAAAGGTTGTCAACGTTTAGAAACAAAACAATGTTTTCTACCTTTAACACCAACGATTATCAAAACACCTTTACCAATTACAATTGATATTCAATCAAAACTCGGTATATAATAACTACGTTTTAATCTATGAGTCTTTATTTTTCGTTTGTTTTAGAATCGGTTATATTAAAAACGGTTGATTGTGAAATAATTGATTTATTCAATCAAATGGTAAAAAGAAGAAGAAGATGAAAAAATTCATTATATTATTTTATCATTTATTTAGAAATCAAAACCAACGACAACTGCTTTTAATGATAATCTATCGGTTATATTATCAAAATTTGTACCTAGTGAACATAAATATTTTTTTGGTAGTATTGTTATTACGGATAAAATTGATTCACTCTCAGATGATGTTAACAATTCAATAACGCAGGTAAATAAAGATGTATTGATAAAACGAACTTCGCCATCACGGCAGTTAAACCAAAGAGATATGTTTTTACAGTGGCGGATCTAGGATTTTGGAATGGGGGGGGGGGCGATTTTTTAGTAGGAAGGGGCGATACCTGAGGAGAGGGAGGGCGATCGCTACCTATATCCGTCACTGGGTCTTTAACATATTGGTTTCAATCCTCTGTGCATCTATGTTAGAAACGTTATTTTATTAAATAAAATTTTTGTTTTAAGGAACGTCGTATTGTTATGGATCAATTGCGTACGCTTGAATTTGTACAATTACAAGCATTTGCACGAGTACTTCAACAACAAAATAAAAAGTATATCGATTTTTTTATTTTTGTTCTATTAAAAAAAATGTTTTCTTCAAAGATCTCAAACAACAATTGATAAATTACGACAACAATATAATCGAATACCACCAGCTCAATTACTTTCTGAATCAATTAAAGTAAGATTTTGTTTTATTAAATAATTTTTCTGTACATTTGATTTTTAGAAACATTCTCTTGATAAAATAACATTTACTTTAATAATGGAACGTATCTTAGGCAAAGTTGATCATCTATTATTAAGTGTACGTGATGAATGTTATGCGACAGCTGTTAATAACGTACATTCATTAGTACAAAAAGATTTAGGAACAACAACAATGATGACAAAAATTGATCATGAACTTTCTCAACAACGTAATAAAGTTAATCATTTAACATTAGGTATTTATAAAATTATCACTATTCTTTTTTATTGTATTCTTTGTTTTATAGTTAATGAAAAATATAATCAATTAATCGCTCGATTAATACAGTAAATATTTATCATCAAGATGAACTAGTGAAATAAATCTTCTTTTGTTTTCGATAGAGATATTCAACATGTTCATGATATGGCTCAACATGATGCAAAAGAAGCACATAATATGCGATTGTTTATTCAATCATTACACGATACTACATATCAACATCGATTAGAGTAAGTTTTCAATTTCGATTCATAGATACTAATAGCAATTCTATATATTCTAGTCAAAGTGAATGTAAAATAATAAAACGTTCAATTAATCAATTAGAACTTGGATTTTTTGATAATCTTATTCGTATTCAACTTGACGGGAAAGCAATTGGTCGCGTATCAACTTGGTCACAATTAAAAGATGATAATGAAAATACTATTGAATGTAAAATCATCTATTCTACAGATGGTAAAATTAATTTTTAATTTTTTCTAAAATTTTCTCTTAATTTGTTTGTTCATAGAAAATCTTAATGCAAGTCAACAAATATCTTATGAATTACTTAAAAATGAAATTAATACTTATTGGAATCGTCCATTAATAAGTACAATATCAATGTTATATCTTATAGAACTTCTTCGCAAATTAATTGAGTATTCTCTTATTGCAAATAATTTATCTCGAACATTACTTGTTTGTCTTGAAACTTTACCTTGTAAATTAATTGATAATAAGTATGAATTCGATTTATTTATTAGTTGTGATTTTGTATTCATTATATTTAATATAGATTTACTATTGATTGGTCAACATCACAAATACGTTTAGATATTGAATGGGAACTCGATGAACGGATATTTCATGATTGTCCATTGAAATCATCTTATTGTTGTCAACCACAACATAATGGATTGTAAATAATAATAAAATTAATTTTTCTATATATCATATGTTTTTTTTAGATGTAATGAATTACAAATTCTTCTTGATCGAATCAAACCAATTAGTGGTTCAGTTGCAAGTTTATATGAACAAGTTGAAAAACATGTTCGACCATGGATTAAAATTCTTGATGGAATACAAGATGAAAATACTCATAAATCTCAAGGACATATATCATTACATAAATTAAAACAATCATTAGAGAAATTATTACTTGAACAAAATTAAAATTATGTAGAAAAAAAATGTATCTATTTAGTTAAATAAAATATTCTTGTATGTTGTATTGTTTGCATAAATAAATTGTTAGACAAAAAAAATCTTTTGAATAATTAACTGACGTGTATTAAAAAATACATAGGGTGCGAGTGGGAGTATCCTATTGTCAACTATATCCACACCCACACCCTCAAGGTGTATAAATACTTTTTAATTGCTAAGTTCTTGTTGAACTAAACGGATCCAATAAGCAACACCATATGGAATAGCATTATCATTAAAATCATATGTAGATGAATGTAAATTTCCAAATTTTGTTTCATCTTTAATTCCCATAAATATAAAAGAACCGGGTCGTTTTAAAAGCATATAAGAAAAGTCTTCTCCAGCCAATGTTGGTTCCATATTTTGATCGACATTTTCTTCGCCAACTACTGCCTGAGCTGCCTCGATTGTTCGTTTAGTTTGTTCTACATGATTAACGAGAGGAACTGCAACACTAGTATATTCTACTTCTGCCTGACAACCAAAATCAGCAGCAAGATTCGTAGCTATTTCTTTCATACGTCTTTGGATCGTATTACGAACAGATTGTGTTAAACTTCGGGCCGTGCCACCAATACATAATTTTGATGGCATAACATTCAACGATTGAAAAGAACCACATTCAATGGCACCAACAGTTATCACAGCTGGATCAACTGGCCTAATATTCCGACTAATAATGGTTTGTAATGCTAAGATAAATTGTGCTTGCAAAACAGTGAGATCAGCAGTAAGATGTACGAGTGCACCTGCATGACCACCAGTACCATGAAATGTAACTACCCATTGATCACCTCCTGCCATCACCGGTCCAGGTCGTGTTGCAAATGTTCCTAGTTTTTCTGGATAGTTATGTAATCCATATATAGCATCCACAGGAAATCGATCGAAGAGACCATCATCAATCATTGCTATAGCACCTATCAGTTTTTCTTCAGCTGGTTGAAAAATAAAATGAACAGTTCCACAAAATGAATCACGATGTTCAGCTAGATATTTTGCAGCACCGAGCAACATGGCAGTATGACCATCATGACCACAAGCATGCATCGTTCCAGGTGTAGTTGAAATGTAGGGAACATCATTTTCTTCATATATTCGAAGACCATCCATATCGGCACGTAAACCAATAGTATTATTACCTGGTCGTAAGCTTTTCAATGTTCCAACAACACCAAATTGACCAACACCTTCAGTTACCACAATATTCCATTCTTTTAATTTTGCAGAGACTAAAGCAGATGTTCGTACTTCTTCCATGGCCATTTCTGGATGAGCATGGATATCTTGTCGAATCTGTGTTAGTTCTAACTGCATCGCACGCACTTCATCAAGAAGTACACTATTCATTTTTTTCCTATTGAGCTTATTCAATGTATGAGCGAAGAAATCTATGCACTATCGTTCATCTAGAAAGAAAAAGATAAGTAAAAGAACCAAAATGAGATAAAAATGAATAATATGAGCAATATATTTAGTGAGTATAAATGAAAGCATAGGTATGACGGTGATACAAACACTCACCAACTCACACTTTCGAGATGTCCACACAAGATAGCATTTTCAATTTTTTTTCTCTACACGTGTGTCACAGATAAGTAGCAAACATGTTACCTGTGTGAGGACTCACTCACTCACTCAATGCATCTTTCTTCTTGAATTAAAAGTATTCTTCAACAATTTCTTGTGAAAACATGACTACTAATCGATTTATTCTTCGTCGTGCCATTGAAACTGATAGTGTTGCACTATCTCAACTTATCTTGAAGATGTGAAGTGCCTCATCCCGATTTTTGCCTAAATAAAGATGGTCAAATCGAATTTCTCTATGTTCGACGTGATCGACAATCACAAGGAATCGAAAAACAGCTAATGAATGTAGCATTATCATGGATGAAAGAACAATTTCCAGAACGACCTATTTGGCTTACAACATTAACGTGCAATTTCAAATCACAAAAACTGTACATGAGTTATGGCTTTACCATTGTTGGTGATTTTTATTCGAATGTTGGTGATACGCAACGACATCTCATTATTATGCGACGAGAAAATAGTTCTTTTTAAATTTTAGTTCACTGAATATCATTGAAGAATAATAAATGCTTTTAAAGAATTTGTTATCCACGTAAAGTTATACTGAAGAAAAATAGAACCACACTCTTAGCTATTAGTATTCAAGATATCTGTGAAACATTGTTGCTTCAAATAAATAAGTGTTCTTTCCTCTTCTTGTTCGATCTGTGTAATAAGAAACGCCGAATACGGTAAGATTAATATTTCTGCTTCGCTTTTAAATTCTGATAGATTTGATATATCAATAGCAGTAGAATTGTCATCGGTTATTTCATAAATACAAAAGTAAGATTGTTTATCTAAATCAGATATGTCTTCATCAGCATACACTTGAGCAACATCAGGATCTGTCGACGTTGAAAGAAATGTAGTGGTAATAATACAGGAACCAACTTTGTAGTGGTCAAGAGTATTTTTAGGTAAAACAATACCACGATAAATCTTACCAATGAAACTGAGTTTTTGATATTTTTCATAACGAAGAAGAATACTTATAATTGCTTTCGTACCATCTTCTGTTGAATAGAGACAATCACACGAGAATTGACTACAACCATTTTTTAAATCATGTATAATATTTCGTGCCATATCTTTATTTAATAATTTTGAGAACTCTTGAGAAGTTGTATATGCAGCAATAATATAGTCAGGTTCTTGTTTAACTAGTGCACATTGAAATAAATTAAATACCTTAGTATTATTCGTTGAGAAAGAATCTCGCAGACGTGTATTGACGTAACCTTTTCTTATTGTGTTAAGTTTTCTTTTCAAGTCTTTTCTGCTCATTGATGTAGATGATTTCAATTCATGACGAAATCTTAATGATTTTTCTGCTGCATTTTGGTCAGTTAATTCCCATTCATAAAAACTTATATCATTTACCAATGAACAGATTTTACATTTAATTACTGGCTGATCCGAGGAAGTTGTATCATTATTGGGTTTGTGTTGAAATATAAAACGAAATGATTGTGGACGTTTAAATAAATCTTCTATTTCTTTTGTTTCAGCTAATTCATAAGCTTGTTGACCATCTACATTACTTATCGATCGTCGTACATCGTATGATAAGAGCATCTGAATAATTTCCTTATGTTGATTTCTTGTAGCAACATGTAAAGCAGTTTCATTGAGGGGTGGATATTGATAATTAATTTCTTCATATTTCATTGTCTTTAAGCATGATTTTACACGTGCAAGATCATTTGTTTGACAAGCTAAGTAGAGCGATGAAGGTGTAATGGCTGAAGAGAGATGGTTATGACCTTTCCAATGTTGAAAGAATTTAGATAATCGAGAATATCGTTGTGTAGAAACTTTATCGTTGATATCTGTCATATTTTTGCATAAAATATATGTTTAAATAATGACTAAGTTACGATTTACGTCTCATCATTTATTTGTACTTCCTACATTATGAATCATTTAAGAATATGGCAGAAAGAAAGAAAGAAATATCCAAGTAAACAAGTAATATCAAACGGTCTATGAAAAATGAAGTAAAAATAGTACTTATTACACAGGTAAATGAGTTTAGAATGAGTAATATCGACACAAAAAGAAAAGGAAGTGCATTTGCATATATTATAAATCACGTCTTCAATTTGAAAAAAATAAAAAGCAGAAAGTGTCGATAATATTCCTTTATTAACAGTATTATGAGTGCTTTTCAATGTGGACCAGATATTTCCCTCTGTTTAAATTTATATAATTTAACGTTGTGTTCTTCGGAAAACAATACTTGTATAGAAAATCATGGTTACTGTGTTTTCAATGACAAAATCAAACCTAGATGTGTATGCTTACCTTGTTTTATCGGCGAACATTGTGAAGAAGAAAAAACATCTAGAAATTTGTGGCCATCATTTATACCTTACAATCAAATAGCAACAAATGGAACTCTCATTCCGGCTATTATTATGATAGTATACGGTACATTTCTTTTTTTAAATGGAATACTATGTTTACAAACGTATTTATGTAGAAAAATACGTGAAACAAACTTAGGAATCTTTCTAATAATGTTATCAATTGTTTCAATATTTATTGGTCTAATATTGCTTATATTTGTTTCATTATCTTTACATGTCAAAGAATTAGCACAACCATTACTGTTTGCTGATCTTAAGTGTATTATGTATGGAAAATTTCTTTATGTTCCTCTCGTTGCTATGTACAATTGGTTTATTGCTAGTGTAGCAATAGAACGCGCGTTAGTTGCCTGTTCTAGTAACTATGGACTACACGATTCGAGATGTCGTTCAATTATAGCGTCTATTGTTATTATAATTATTTGTTCATTGAGTAGTCTTCCCGGAGTTTTCACAGTTCGTCAAAATCAATCTGCAGAATTGCGGCCTGTACAGTGCATGAACTTCACGCCACTCGGATATATTTTATTTCGAACTGTTACACGCATTCATGTATTTGCATTTTATCTTCTCTATATTATAATGAACATTGTGGTGTTAGGACATCTGTTCAGACATCGTCGACGTTTTGTAGATGCTGATTCATTACCTACCCAAGTTTATCTTATCTTACGTAAACATAGAGATTTTTTCATACCGTACTTAGTTCAAACTCTTAGTCAGTTACCTAGTACTATAATGGATTTTATTATGACCTGTTCAATGGCTTATACATCACTTGCCGCACGTTTAGCTATAGTATTTGTTATCCTACAAACTCTTCCATTTATAATAACATTTTATCTATATATTTATTTATCACCGGTATACTGGACAGAGTTCTTACATTCATCACCCATTGGCAAATGTCTTATGAAAATGAAGAAAAAAACTCGCACTGCCTTCCATTATAAAACTATCAAAGACAATAATCTGTCTGAGATGCGTTACTAATATTAACATTATGTAATGATTTACCTAAAAAATGAATTCATATTTGTATGAGATGAGAATGATGTCAGGCATCTTGAGGGTGTGGGTGGGGGTGAGTCTCAAGAACTTCAGCAATACTATCTAATTTTTCGGATATTGTTAAAAATTTTAAATGTACATATGCTCGAGTAGCCTCTTATGATTCAAAAACCACTAAATATTTTCCGCACTGATCAACTTTAGTAGAGACCATCATTTATTAAAGATGTAAGAGAATAATTTCGTTTATCGCAGGCAGTTCACTTCATTTTTGAAACTAATTTGGATCAAAAACCTGTTGGTGTCTTCACACATCATATGTTAATAAAAACGCGAATAGTGCAACAAATTATTGAAAAAATAATTATATTGATAAGACCAACAAAAGTGCTCGTAGTGGTATCAGCAGATGTGTTATTTCTTCATCATAATATTTGAAAGAGAAGTCTCTAAGGATTAGGCCATATGTAAAATAGTTGTGAATAAAAACAATCAAGGTATCTGTTTTTACTAAGAATATTCATTATTATATACGGAATACAACTAGTACAAAAAAAGTGAGCATTGGGATATCCGGACGATTGATCATACTTTTTAAAGTTCAATATTTCAATAAATGATATTTGAAACAATTTTGCACTGTATTTTTTAAATGAGTCTCAACTCGTCTGTCAGTTCTTTTGTTTTTTCGTATAATTATCACTTCTTACTTCAACATTTTTTTTTAAAGTATCTATTATAAATGTTTACGGAAAACAGAATACTTTAAACTCATTTCCTATAATATCATAATGACATCAATTTAGTTATCTATATTACATATAGTTATTTTGATCAATAGTTGCGTATGTTTTTTTTCAAGGACATCCTTCAAACGATATAATTACAAAAAATAGATCATGTAGACATAAATGAAATTATATGATAATGTTCTAAGCAAGCACATCGAATAGTGGTATTAAGACGATGACATATATCATATGATAATAAATTATTGATTAACTTCTCAGTTATCTTTTTTCCATCAAATTTCTTTCCTTTCAAAACGTGTGAGTAGTTTCAATTGACAATAACAAAAATGAAGGTTACACCATGGAAGAATGGGTACATCTAATTTTTCTAGACATGATGTTCTGCTTTGTTCCGTGTCACTACTTATACGCGAAGGTATTCTTTTATATATATATTTTTATATTATGATGAAAAAATTTATTTTTCCTAGATAAAAAAAGAATCACAGTGAACCGATGTCAATATCTTTTTGTACAATAGCACACCAATTTCCATGATCATAATAAGATTTGACTATTCTTGATCCGACTATAGTTTTTGACGCTTCTTCAATGAGCATTTCAAGTTCACCATGTTTAAATACATGATAAAAACGTTTATTACATGGATTCGTATTAATTTGTTCATCATTATATGAACTCATTGGAAATGGACGAATACGAAATGTTAAACGATCTTGATGAGATAATTTTGGTGTCGATGGAGTAGATGACGACGACGATGGTTTTACAATTCGTTGAAATAAATTTTGTAGAGAATCAACCATGGAAAATGTTGTTCCTCTAGAAGATTCTTGTTCAATATTTTGTGAAAATTTTTCATTCATCGAAAGTAATGTTGATGACTGAAAATTTTTATCATGAACAATATCTAATAGATTGAAATAAAATTATTGAAACATATCATATAAAATAATCATACCTGAACGTATTTGATCATTAATACATGGAATAAGAACGTCTTGACTAGCAAACTATAATAAAACTCTCTGAAATTAACTATTTTTCTTCTTCTCTAATCACTTACTGTGCGATGTTTTTGTTCCAAAGCCCAAGTATATATTAATAACTGACCACCATTTGGATTTAAAATTCGTAGACATTCTAAAAATAAAAATCTTAATTAAGAACAAGAAAAAAAATATTACCTTGGATAGCTTGTACACGTCGTTTATGAGTAGCTAAATGATGAATAACACCAACTGAAAGTACAGCATCAAATAAATTATCTCGATATGGTAGATGAAGATTGTCAGCTATTATAATTGGTATATAAGAATATTTTTCTCGAGCTATTTCACATAATTGATCACTACGATCACAACCAATTGTGAATAAATCTGATTTTAGTTTAACATATTTTCCATTACCACAACCTTTACATATTTGAATAGGAAAAAAATAATATTTGTTAATTATCAAAAAAAAACATTTTTTAACATACCAACATCAGCAACTAAAGCATTTTTATGTTGTAATGATATACGATTAAGAAATTTTCGAACTTTTGGCCATACTGTTGTATCTTGTGTTAATGTTGTTGAACCCAATCGATTGTAAACATCATGTCTAAATGAAAAATATTAATACAAATGGACATTGGAATAAATTAAAAAACTTATGTACACATAAATTTGTTCCAAAACATCAGTTTTTGATCTGTTCTTTTCATCCATATTTGTAATTATTATTCTAGGAACAAGAATGAATAAATTTGACCTAGCTGAAAGAATAATATGTGATAAAATAACTAGAAGGCAGTTCGGACGACGACATATGGCTTGACATGGATAGACAAAAAAAAGAAGAAGAAGAAGAAGAAGAAGAGAAAAAACATGAACATAAGGAACTCGTTTGTAGACAAATGAATGTCTTGTATGCTTAACAATTTAAATTAGATATGTCAGAAACAGAAAAAAAAAATGCAAAAGCCTCATTAAGGAATTATTATCAGTTTTTTCTAAGTAATATTTTATATTGGTTAAAAAGCAAACTCACTATTCCTTCCTTTTACAATGTTTAATACACCCCTTGAGAGGTAGGTAATTGTCGTGAAAAATACTATATGAAAGAATAATAATAAGAATATATTATAACGAACAAGGAGAAACAGAACAACTACAACAGAAGAACTGAGCGAAATATGGTTGATCGTGCGCCATATGATGGTGATGATGACGTTCGAGGTCGAGTGCATACATGATAGAAACATGTTAAAAAAGAGAAGAAGAAAAAAGAACTATATATATATATATGAGTTAAAAAAAGCACAACTTTGAATTCATAGAAATGTCAAATCAACGGAAGGTTTAAAGAAAAGATAGACGTATTATCTAAAAACACGATTATATCTATTTAAAAAAAAAATCTTTTATTCACGTCGACAACCATCATGTCACATATTCTTTCTAGAAATGCCGAAAAAAAAGCTCTCAAGAGATTTGATTTTATCAAGAAGCTTACTTCTTCATACTTGAAATATAAGAACCCTGGATAGAAACAAAAAAGAACTTTGCTATTTTTTTTTCAAAGCTTCAGATTTCAATTATTCTCAATGATTAATTTTTAATAACATTTATATAAAACACCGACGTTTTCTTTTCTTCTTCGTTTTTATATTCTATCTAATTTATTATAGAGTGCATAAGAGTAAAATAAGGTTACCTTGATTCTTTTTCTAATCAACAATATCCTATATGATGTAAGAAAAAAACTTTCAGCGGAAAAAGACAAAAAATATATATATATCACATTAAAATATGTGTGATATAGATCATTAATTGTAGGATATTAACATTGAACTTCGATTATTATATCACTTATGAAAGAAAATTAGTTTAACAAGAAAAAGCTAATGAATACTTCGCACTTGTTTTAGTAAGATAAGAACTGAATGAACTATATCCTTATTTATATGGAAAACTTCTTAAAGATAATCTTAAGTAGACTATTGGAGTACTTTATGTCATGTGACACTTAATAATTAGATATAAACAGGATTTTTTTTTGTCTGACAGACGTTCACATCAAGAGAAATATAAATTATTCAATAAGTTACGAAGAATGGATACAAAATGAAGTTATAAATATTAATCCTGATATTTAACTGTTTGACATATTGTTAAAATATATATCAATCGCAATTTCAGTTAATACCTCTTATATCTTCATCGGTTCTTAACATATTTCATTAATCCGAATCAATTAAATCTAATTCTATTACAATACGTCATTGGCATTGAGTCTAACTTGTCTCAACCAACTTTGTGACTCTATTGAATATGAACAATAACTATGACATTTTTTTT